TTCCTTAATTTCCAGCTTCTAGAATGTTTTTAATTCTTGTTGGACTTACATATAGACTATTGCAGTCTTGACACATTAAATGGTAAATACAACTGTTGCTATACTTTTCGATTTTGTCTTTGTTGTTGCACAACATTTTACCTTGATTGTTTGTATACAGTAGAAGGCCGGTCTTTAGATTTCTTTGTTCAATGTGTTATGTAATTTGTGAGAAGGTTTTCCAATGTAGCTTATCTTAAACCATTTCAGTACAGTATGTGGGTATATTGATTTGAAGGTTATGGTTTCTAATTTTTAAACAACAATGTGTAAGTTAATATATTTGTATAACTATTGTTGACAGCAATTTATTTAATTGTTTTTAATACAGTTTCATAACCTTCAGATGTCAAGGGTACAGAGATGAGCCTGTGTAACAAACTATGGCAAATTTGTGAGATATTGGATGTCTTGAAGAAGCATGTAAGATGGTGTTACTATAGGCAGATTTTCTGAAAATGAAGTATTTGGGAAACATACAATTGTCTTTGTTTTCTTCTCAATACTGTAATTATGGAGTTTCACCAGGTACTGATGGTTTTAAGTATCAATTGCATGCATTGTGAAATGCCAACCAATAGCTCAGAAAGAAAACCATAGCAGCACAAAGTAGAAAGCTATAAATGCAAGATTTCCTACCTCATCCCCTTGGACCACTTCCATTGTTTCTAGTTACACTAGAGAAGAATAGGCACACAAGAATTATGTCAACTTTTGAAAAGGAACTAGCGAAAAGTGTCAAGTCAGCAGATAACAATCCAAAACCTCGAGAATGCATAGTGTATGGCACGAAGATGGGGAGAAGAACACATAGTGAACATAAGACATTCCAGGCAATCTCTGATTTTGCTATTTCAGTAGTTATTAATGAAGGTGCAGGAAGTAAATGGATAAATGTATTTTTTTATGGATATATAAAGACATTTCAATTTAAAATGCTGAAAGTGAGACAAGAGCAAATGTTGCAAGTGTGATTAACTACAAGAAATTTGTTTCTGGACTGCTAGTTACTTAATGTGAAATTTTCTGAAAAGTTCCAAAAATAAAAGCAGCCTGATCCAATTCATAGTCAGTCAATGGCAGGCACAAGACAACCAAGCAAAGCTGAGGAGAGAAGATATAATTTTTATGTGACATATGGAAAATAACGTTAGCAGCTGACAAGAGAATGTGTTGAGGAAGTACAGGAGTCGAAATCCACCCAAGAAAAGCAGATACCATAATTCTGCCTCATACTGCACATGTGTGCCATTTAACTATTATGTAACAGTCGTTGCTTTGGATAACACTGATAAACAAATCTCCGTCTTTTCTGTTTGAGAATATCCGTCCACATATTTCAGAAATCAGGCAGAGAAACGAAGATCAAGTACAATCAGGTACGAGGAAATCTCTTTGTTCGGAAATTTGTGAGGCTTTATTAGGAACTGGTCAATTTACTGGATGTTTTGCTGCAAAAGAAAAGCTCACAAATTTGAAACTAGTGAATTGTGAGAAAAAGTGCAGAAATGTGTTCAAATATCTAGGATCAGAATGGAATATATCTACACAGCTATTTTAAAACCTTGAAGTATTTGCTTGTCAACTCTTGGAAACAAAAATGGAGCATCATATGTGAATACTGATATGTAACACATGGTTTATGTAAAGATGGGTGAGGTTGAGTCATTTCAGCTTTTTCTGTGCCAAGACTGTTTATACAAACGTGTCTTTCATGCATGCTATCAAACTAGAATATGAAAAAGAAGTCTGGAAATGTTTCTAATAATTCCAAGTACTGTGGACATGGAGTGCAAATTAAAAGAATATGATGGTCAAATATACTTTACTATTTAACTACACGGATGGAGAAGTAGTATGGCAGGAATTTTGAGAGAATAAATCAAATACATAAGACTAAGAGGAACAAATAAAAGTACATTTATTTTAGTAAATGTCTTCAATAGGGTACCTATATTCCTGCATGTTTTACTACAAGAAAGCTCCCAAATAGGAAAGTATATTAGATGGGTATGAAGCCGTGAAGTGTTAACCCTTCTAATGTTAGATAATAGACTTTACCCACTTACTGGTAATTATAATTCTGAAAACAATAATTTCCTGAACACTAGTCTTAACCTGAGCTGAGTATTTGTCTGTCGTAGAGAACAACAGAAAATAAGAAAAACAATAAACAGAACAAACTATCAGATGTCTTAATATTGGAGGAATTGACACTGTTCCGTTTATTTTTATTCTTCTTCTTCTTCTTTAACTGCTACATACGATAATGTGTATTTTATGATTGCCTACCATAATTATAACGTAAAAATTAACAGTTTCTGTGATGAAAGTAACATATGTAAGTACTGACTATGATGTGTTAAGTGTGCTAAAACCCACTCAAAGATCGTTAAGTGCGATTCATTGTCTCCATAAGTTATATTCAACAGTGTTAATTAACAGTTCCACTACGAATTGTACATTCAGCACAATGAAAAAGATTATAAACTGGATAAGAAACATATCAGGCAACAATTGTACAATACCATGATTGGGTACATTCATGAAGAAAGATTAATAACCTGGACATGACATCCATTGCTGCTAAAGTTGCTATTAGGACTGAACAAATATGGTGATCAGCAGTAAGATTACAAACTTACAATGTTGAAATCCGGGTCTCGATTCCCCACGGTGGACAGACAGCAGATACTCCATTGTGTAGCTTTGCATTAAAACAAACAAACAAACCAATTTCTAACAAAACTTCAGTGGAATGTTTGTATCGAGTATTATTGGAATTCTTTTTTTTCTTTTTTCTGCAGTTGTAATGACCGTAAAAATAATTCTGATGTATACCCAAAGTGTTCACGTATTATATGACAAGAATATACTGTTACGTATCTGCTTGTTTGTTAATTTTCCGTAGAAATTCTTTCCGAGAAACTTCAGCGATACAAGTCCTGTCTTGATTAAAACTAGTTTATTCTTTCTCGATACAAACTTTGTAATACACTTAACAACTGTTATAACAAACGCTATAAATCCCAGTGATTCACATACTTTACTTACGGTGCTTACTGTTCGCTTGACTCAATTATCTATCTCTTCGATCCATCCGCATATCTGTATCGCTGGCTTTATTTGCCGGGCTTATATACTAAAAAAGAGGGCGTCTGGCAAACACTCGGACATTCGTGGGGTTCCCCGTTAATTCTAGAAACTCCAGTACGCATGCTCCCAGCGTCACGCGACTTCCACTGTCGTAACAATATTTTCAATGCAAAAATATAAACAATACTATGTGTATCATATTGCACAGAAAGTGCCTTATTGATCAGTTGAGCAGCTCCCTACCCTAGAATGATTCTGGCGTTCCTGAAGTTTAAAAAAAAAGCTACTTGAACATATCTAACTAATAATGTTTTTTTGAAAAACTAGTTATGGAAGGTGTTCCAATTATCACAGAAACATAATACATATGGCCCTATATAAAACAGTCACCATGGGTAATTGTGACGATTGTGCTGAACTGGTAAGAAAAGTGTGAAGCAATCTTTAATAAATGTCTGTTACCAGTCTAGTGTGAGTCCTTCCTGTAAGCTAAGAAGAAAATTGAACTAAATCCCTGATAACTGAAATAAAGTTAGAGTGAAACAAGGAAAATGAATATCAAGTTGAAGTTGAAACAATAAAAAAACTTTATGCACGTATCTAAATGAAAAGGTCTAAAATCTCTGTAAGATTGGACAAACACAATATACTTAACAAGTTGGAACCTGGCTTTAAATGCAAAAACAACCAGTTTGCTCACAGAATGCTTAAAACGCACGTACGTGACCTTCGACCTGTCATTCAAATGTTAGGGTGCAGCAACTGTGGGGAATAACTTGATTCGCCAACAGAAAAGACAGGCGTTTACCTCAAACCTCACATGTGAAGTAACAGCTGCCTTCCATGTAAGAAAACATACTTAAGAGCCAATAACTGGATCCAAGTCTGTGTGCACCAAGACAAGGAAAGTTGAGTTGTGTACTTGAGTAACTCTCTGTGTCTAAACTGTATATGTCAATAATACAGAATCCTCAAATAACTTGTATATTAGATAAGTGGATAATACAGTCCTGTACTACACATTTCTCCCAAATATTTTATGAAGGTGTTACTATACCGTGTTTTACTTGGGTATATTATGTTTGTCTCTGCCTGCTTTCGAGAATCAAAATTGTTGGTTTACGCAAATCGTATTCAGTAATATGATATTTTCTGAACCTCCTGAAAAATACCACAGACACATACGTATTTTTCATACATTATTAGACAGTATAGAAACTTATGTTAGGAATGATTTTCGAATGTTATTTTATTTGTTTTTTGTGCATTGACTTTATATATATATATACATATATATTCGTATTTATTATGGTTGCATATGCCCTGATTATAACCTTCTCCATTCTCATTGCTTAAGGAAATAAATGTTTCCAATGACATGCTTAAAAATTGTAAACAATTTTGATACAAACATTTTTTGTTCCATAACTCCATTTTGTGATATATATATATTCTGTTATTGTTTTTGCTCGTTTGTTTGTTGCTAAGCGCAAACCTATACAATGGGCTATTTGTGATCTGTCCACCTCTGGTATCGAAACCCGATTTTTAGCATTCTAATCCCTCAGGCGTATCACTGAACCAACAGAGTGCTATTACTGTTGTAATGAATAAAGTTGAATGATATTACTTTATTAAATATACTTCAATAAGTTCTACTCTTTATAGCTATATTTTATATTTACTCTAAAAATAAAATTTTTACTTTTGAAAGTATTATGCACACATATATATATATATATATATTAGTTATAAAAGGGCAAAGTTGCAGTTAAGTCTTTACAGTCTTTGTAAAGTAGCTGAAATTCATCGGGCAACAATGACAGTTGACTACAGCGCAAGCGCACTAACAGCATTCCGACGAGGTACGCAGGTACCATAACTTGTTGAGATGAGGTGCGTGGCATAAAAGTAAGTAGCTATATAACCTTGAAAATAGCGTGTCTAGTATCTTTTTAATTCTTGTTGTAGAATATTTCTACTTTAAGATACTTTTCTCTTGGGTTTACTTTGTTTATACTTATCTTACATATTACTTCTAACAAATTCAACACTAAATGAAAATAACAACGTGGTTTAGCTACACAGTCCTTCTCTATCTGAACTTCATATATTCCCAAGTTCAATGCTCTAATGTTATTTATTTTAAAACCGATTTGTATTTGTTATTTAAGGTTATAACCTGTTTTGTTTTTAATTTTTTAGAAACAATGATGACTGCAAGCGAGATTTTTCGTAGTATCTGCTTGAACAGTGGGTTTTGGGCGGCTGTTTTTCTAGGGTTGGTGGTCTATTATGCAATATTTTACCTCACCACGTTTCGCCAGTATCCGAAAGGAACCATTCCGTTACCTTTAAGTCTCGAGCTCATTTACCGTAAGTTTATTTAAATAAATCTTAATTTATAAATGTCTGCAACATAAGCATTACCTAAGGAATGTAGCTTTAAATAGAATTTAGAATAGATTTACGAATGAGAAAAAAAAAACAAGTAATAATAATATGCTTCAAACTGATTTATATGATTTGTGTTTGAATAAATTATTTGAAAAATATACACTAATATTAACAAAAAACCGGATAATACACTTTCTCAGCTGTTCTATACATTTAATGAAAGCTGATATCTTTAAAAGTTGATTATTGCTTTTCAAATTAAACGTAATGTAATACATCATCATTAAATATATATAAACAATTACAAGTGCCATAATATGAGAGCGAAAAACTTGTTTTTCTTCTTATTTATTAAAATTATCAAGATAAGATTCCTATAATACTTTGACACTAAATCAAGCTTTCAAAGAAAGGCTTCTACACGAGCTCTATGTTCAGTTTAACATAAATATTTAATTATATAACAGTATTAAAGTTGGTAGATCCTGAAAAGAAGTGTAAAATTTTCTGAAGAATCATAAACTGAGAATAGGTAGGATACGAACCCGCGACTCTGTTTATCGTGAAGTAGCTTAGTTGGATAAAGCACCTGCATTGCAAGCAGAGTCGAAATCTCATTCTTCAAAAATACCCTTCACTTGAAAGGTCGGTGTTGCTAAATTACCAACCTTGAAATTTCTTTAATCAAGAAGTTTCAGTTGATTAATTGGTACGAGCTTTTGCACAGTTAGCAGAGTTGTTTAATGACTTTTGACAGCCACAGCATCTGAAAATTGCGCGATTAAATAAGACGTGTCTAGCAAAAACTGACAAACCTGTTTTTGCTCAGTAAAAAGAAAGAAAGAAAAAAACAACGAAAGCTTGCATTTAGCCCAACAGAGGGCGAGTACTTTTTGAGCTTTTTATACATATGATGACGTACACGGAAGTTGTACACGGGGCTTGTAGAATACATGCATCAATTCCTCCCTGGGACGTCTTGTACTTGGGGGGTGTGAGGTTGATACAAGGGCGGAGTACCAAGGGATACACCACGAAACTTAACGTAGGTATTATGTCCTACTATTGAGAGGATATCAGTGTTATATTTCTTATTGTTGTGTTTATGATCGATACAGTTTATCTGGGCTGTTAGCAATTTGAACGGGTCTAATGTGTAACTAAACGCATTAAAAATGTAAATGACCTTATCAGGTTTATTTCATTCAAGTTAGTTTTATGGCGACTGGCGTGACTGAATATTTAGCGCGGAGGACTGTGAATCCGAGGACCTATGGCTCGCGTCCCGTTGCTGCAAAATATCGCTCCACACTTTGAGGCCATATGCGAGTTATAAGAGCGGTGGTAGAATCCCAAGAGTTGGTTCCTTCGCCATGAGGTACCTATATAGCTATAAAAACTAAGCTATCACTTCAATATTAGGGACAAACAATCATTTTGTTGTTTTGTGCGTAACATACAAGTTAGTTTTACGTGCTATAAAATTATCACATTTGAAAGAAACTTCAATTTACATTATACAAAGGTCAATTAAACTTGAAAAAAATGTGTTAATTAAACACAATTATCCACCTCTATCAACAAACCTTAAGAATTTTCAAGCATTTATTTAATTAATTCACTTTCATTATTTGTTACTGGAGTGATTGTTATTATTATCAATAAATAAACTTTTGAGTGGTGAAATATTCTTATTGTTTTATTGGCTCCAATATTCGTATTTTTGTTTTCTCATAACATTTTCGACTTTTCGGTTTTAAAAATAATATTATTGGTAAAGACTATCCTGCTCGTTCGCCAACTCTTCTGGATTACAGTCAAGTTATTGTTATTGTTACGCCTCTGTGTTCGTTTGTTAATTTTCCGTAAAAATTATTTCCGAAGAAACTTTAGCGATACAAGTTCTATCTTAAATAAAACTAATTTATTCTTTCTCAATACAACTTTCAAATACACTTAATTTCCACAGTCACGCTATAAGTTAAACAAACGCTATAATTTACAACGAACGATTCACGCGCTTGACACAATTGTCCGTTTCTATTTCTGTCTGCAATTCAATTCCATTGTTGCCGTCACTTCTTGGCGGTCTTGTATACAAGATTACCGCACATCTAGTAAACACTCAAGCATTCACGAACCTTCGAGAATACTATAAACAACTTACGTTGACCCGCTCCGGCAAGAAAAAGACAAGCTTGGTTTTTGCTTGTTCTTCTGAATGATGATAGAATTACAGTTATAGATTCATTACTTTCACTCATAGATTTTTTAAAATTTGTTAATGTATTTTTAACGAAGTTAGGATTTTCTTCTATTTTGGCTAATGGTTAGTAATAAGATATTAATTTTTTTTATAGCAACATAAATTGGAAAATATTTTATAAAATTAAGCCATTTGTACACCTAAAAAGCTTTAACTATTAACATGTTATATGCATTTCTTTTCGATTGTTCAATTCCATTATTCGATTAAAATACCCGAATTGCTGGTATTGAATTCCCTCTAATTTATTAAAAATTATTTTAAAAATTTATTCTAAATTAAAAACTTCTAGTTCTCGAATAGCTTTGTATGAAATTCACAAAAACATTTTATTATTATATGTTTTTAGTGCTTTTGGCGCTTCTTTTTCATTCGACATAGAACCCATATAGATTTGTAGTCGGCCACGTGGGTATTTTGTATTAGCCCAAAAGTTTTTGACATTCAGGTAACTAGCTCGCCCTGCAACAACCTTAAAGGGGAGAACATGTTCGTTGACGGGGATTCGAACCTGCGACCCGTAGATTGCACATCTAGCACCTTAATCACCAGACCTTGCCACACCCGCTTTTGATACTTATAATCCAATAATCGTAAAATTTCTTTTTATAATGTTTTGGATTTTTTGTTTCAGTTTTATAAATAACGTATTTGGTATAAAACTTAGTTGCTAGAGTAAGAAATTTTAATTTATACGCTGAAACATTTTCTTACTATACCAGTTTAATTTGTATATTAAAGTGGACGAAAACAAATTTAGAACGTAAGCAGTATTTGATAACGCGGTTAAGTTTGAAACAAACAAAATAAACAGCTGTGATAGTTGAAATATATTGTTAGGACAGCAGAAGTCACGTGACTCCGGTAACACGTAATGAGTTCTAGAAAGATCGGGGAACATCACGAATAATCCAGTATTTGCTAGTCGACCTCTATTCTTGTATATAAGTGCGCCAGACAATCAATCGGGATAGAATTGCAGACAGACAGAGACGACAATTGAGTTAAGCGCGGTAGTAAGTAAGTGCGTGAATCGTTCGTTGAGAATTATAGCGTGTGTTTAAATGACTGTGGTATAGACACCGGTTTCACACCAAGAAGAGATAGATTTCCGGATATCGACTTTGAATACTGTAACAATGCCGAATGGGATTATTGACCTGGGTACATTTTTTAGGAAAGCTCCTAAAGTAATTAGTTTTACTTCCAAAGTCGCTATTTAACATACAATTGGTCGCTTTCCGTTCTTTCTGAATTATTATTCACCATTAAATGTGCAAAAGTTCATCGATGTTTTTAGTTTTTTACATTTATTTATAATCTTTATACTTTTAGAAAATAAATGAATAATTGAAATTAATTTTTAAAGAAAGTTTTCACTTTTAGCTTTATATATTTTTCACGGTAGAATCAAGTGATTTTAAGTAAGATATCTCCTCTTTTTATATTTCTACCTTATGCTTGAGTTATCATTCCTCTTCTTTTATATAAAAATATTTTCTGATGTAAAACATACTGTTACGTCTCTGCTCGTTTGATAATTTCCGGTAGAAATTCTTCCCGAGAAACTTCAGCGATACAAGTCCTTTCTTAAATAAAACTAGTTTATTCTTTCTCAATACAACTTTGCAATACACTTAATTTCTAATGGGTTTAATGGCATGAAGGGAGTGGTCGGGAATGTTAGTGTTTAACCACAATAAGTTCTTGGAGTGGTCGGGAATGTTAGTGCTCAACCACGGGAAGTTCTTGGAGTGATTGGGCATATTAGTGTTAAGCAACAAGTTCTTGGAGAGGTTGGGCATGTTAGTGTTTAGCAACAAGAAGTTCTTGGAGTGGTTGGGGCATGTTAGTGTTTAGCAACAAGAACTTCTTTGAGTGGTCGGGCATGTTAGGGTTTAGCAACAAGAAC